CACACACACACACACACACATATAGTCCACTAGTCAAGAAAACAGCACTTGGCCGAGCGCAGTGCCTCACGCCTGTAATTCTAGCACTTTGGGAGGCCGAGGGCAGATCATGAGGTCAGGAGATCGAGACCATCCTGGCTAACATGGTGAAACCCCGTCCCTACTAAAAAACACACACAAAAAAATTAGCCGAGCGTGATGGCAGGCACCTGTAGTCCCAGCTACTCAGGAGGCTGAGGCAGGAGAATGGCGTGAACCTGGGAGGTGGAGCCTGCAGTCAGCCGAGTTCGTGCCACTGCACTCCAGCCTGGGTGACAGAGCCAGACTCCATCTCAAAAAAAAAAAGAAGAAAACAGCAATGAAAGAACTATTTCAGGGCATGGAACTGCAGCTGAAAAAGAATCAAAAAATGGGAGTGAAAATAAGGACTCCAAGATGACTCAGATGTTAAACTGCAGACAAAGATTTTAATACAGCTCTTTCAAGTACATGTATTCACGGATAACATTTATGTTTCTAATAAATTGAAATTAAGGAGAAATCACAACAGAGAGAGAAGAAATGTTTTTTAAAATGGAAACTCTAGAATACAGCATCTAAAATGTTCACTAGACAGTCCTATCACACTGGGGACAGCAAAAGAAAAGTTCGGTGAACTTAAAGATGAACCCAAATCCACAGAAACTATCCTATCTGGAGAACAAAAGCAACAAAAACAGGCTGAAGAAAAATGAACAGAATCTCAGTGACATCAATCAGTCCAACATACAAAATTGGAATATCAAAAAAAGGAAGGAGAAAAGAGGGCAGAAAAAATTTTTGGCAAGCATCTGGAAATTCCCCAAATGCAGTGAAGAATATCAACATACAGAGCCAAGAAGTTTAGTATTTCCCATGTATGATAAGTAAAACCATACTAGACATACCATAGCCAACCTACTGGAAACCAAAAATAAAATATCTTGACAGCAGGCAAAGAAAAAGGACACATATATAGGAGAACAACCATATGAATGATGGTGAACATCTCATCAGAAATAAGAGTCCAGAACGTATCTTAAAAGAATGGAAAATAATTTTAGCTGTCATCCCTGCGTTGTGTATCCATGGAAAATACCCATCACAAATGCCGAGCAGAGTGGCTCATGTCTGTAGTCTCAACACTTTGAGAGGCCTTAGTGGGGGGATCGCTTGCCCTCAGGAGTTAGAGACCAACCTGGAAGACACAGCAAAACTCCTTCTCTACTGAAAAATAGAAAAATTAGCTGGGCGTGGTGGCATGCACCTATAGTTGCAGCTAATTGGGGCAGGGGGTGGGTGCTGAGGTGGAGGAGGCTGAAGTGAATCGAGACTGTACCACTGCACTCCAGCCTGGGTGATACAGCAAGACCCTGTCTCAAAAAAACAAACAAACAAAAAAGAGTGTGAAATATCAGACATTTTTAGTTAAGGAAAAACTAAGAGAATTCTTTGCTGGTTGGTAGTGTAACAAACACTAATGGAAGTCCCTTAGGCTGAAGGGAACTGATACCAGTTATTGTCAGGCATAGAAATCACAATTGAAATAGAATGAATCACTGCCTCTTAATGAAATCATCAATAAATTAGGAAACAGGTGGATAAACATTATCCACTTAAGGCCCCTTTCCTGCAACGTAATCACTTCTAAGTTACAGAACTTTAGAAATGAAGAGCATGGACACTACAAAGAAACAAACTAGAACCTTACAGGTTGGCCTGACATACTCAAGATACAACCGCTGATGGCAGAAAGCACCACCAGGATTGGAGTATAGCATTCCTTGCTTCTGTACCTGTCTTTCCAGGTGTTAGGTCATTTGATTTTAATAAATGGTATAAAAGTTAATGTGAATTTTCTTGCAACTTACGTTGCTATGGGATGGCGCATCAAAAGAAGCATAAAGAAAAACTAAAATGGCAGAGAAAAACATTACTTAAAATAAAATATTTGTGTTTTTACTACTATACCTGAGACCCCCAGCACAAGCAATAGAAATAAGAAATGAAGGTATAAGGAATAATCAAAATAGTGATTACCTGCAGACATTAAAACATTTTAAAAAATCAGTAAGATATCAAGAAAAAGCAACCAACATGATTTTAAAGCAGTAAAAATGACTTAACACTGAAATACATAATAGTTACCATAATAATGAATAATGCAGGCTAAAACAGCCAACTGTCCCCAATTTAACCAATAAATTGAATAGAATTTCATTAAGTCCATTATAGATTTTGTTTGGTTGTTTGTTGGAACTAGACAAATATTCTAAAGTTGTGTGAAAATGTAATGATCTAAGAAGAGCCAAGACAATCCTGAAAAATAAGGTCAAGGACAAAGAACTAGCAGAAGTAAATAAGGATATTGTAAAATGATGATAATTAAAACAGTGATATCTGGCCAGGCAAGGTGGCTCACACCTGTAATCCCAGCACTTTGGGAGGCCGAGGTGGGTGGATCACTTGAGGTCAGGAGTTCGAGAGCAGCTTGGTAAACATGGCAAAACCCCGTCTCTACTAAAAATACAAAAATTAGCTGGGCGTGGTATCAGGCGCCCGTAATCCCAGCTATGCCGGAGGATGAGGTAGGAGAATCGCTTGAACCCAGGAGGAGGAGGTTGCAGTGAGCTGAGATCGTGCCACTGCACTCCAGCCTGGGCGGTAAGAGTGAAACGCCATCTCAAAAATAAATAAAGAAAATAAAAATAAATAACATAGAACAGTGATATCCAGGAACGCAATCACAGTGTGGTGGCTCACATCTGTAATCCCAGCACTTTGGGAGGCTGAGATGGAAGGACTGTTCAGTTTGAGACCAGCCTGGGCAACATAGTGAGACCCCAACTCTACCAAAAATTTAAAAATTAGCCAGGCAAGATGGTGTGCACCTGTGGTCCCAGCTACTTGGGAGGCTGAGGTGGGACTATCACTTGAGCCTGAGGGGTTGAGGCAGCAGTGAGCTGTGATCATATGCCACTGCACTTGAGCCTAGGTGACAGAGAGAAAGAAACCCCAGTCTCAAAAACAAAACAGCCATATTGGTTCAGGGAAGCAGAACTCAAAGAAAACAAAGAATCTGAAACAAATCTCATAGCTGTGCCATTACACACAAGTTGCAGAAGACTAGAAATGACAAAAAATTAAGTGTTGAGATAAAAGTCTGTCCATATATGGGAAAAAGATAGAACTAGATTCTTATCTTATACTATATATAAAATTAATTCCAGATACACCAAAGACCCACTTCTGAAATACTTTAAAACTTTAAAGCTATTAAGATGACTCAGGAGAATATCTTTATAAAAGCCTCAAAGCAGGGAAAGATAAAAGGGAGAAGAACATCATAGACAGAGGAAGTAGAATGACAACTAGAAAATAGCCTCATCTGTAATATGGCAACTAATAATCCCACCTATTTCACAGCAATAATGAGATTTAAATATGATAAGTTCTTAGAACCTCTTAATAAATCTAAGTCACTGTTATCCTAGTTCTTCCACTTACTAGTTATGTGAAACTGGGGAGGTTACCCTCGTGTCTTATTATCCTCACTAGTAAACTGAAGAAAACATTAGGTTTTCTTCATTAGGTTCTTGTAAGGATTAAATGAATCAATACATGTAAAGTGCTTAAAACAGAAAGTGACACACAGTAAGAGTTCAACACAGAGGAATTAGTAAGAATAATGTATTACATTTACAAATAAGAATAACTACAGCACACAGGGAATGAGGATCAAGTCAAACTAAGTGTATGTTACTGGATTATAGTTTAGAACACTAGCTCTGGTAGCAATGTGAAGAACAGATTGTTAAGGGGGGAAAAAGTTGTTAACACAGCAGTTAAGAGGCTACTCCAAGTGTTCAAGCCTAAACAATGGGAGATTTTTGGAAAGCATTTTCACAGGACCTGAGAACAGACCAGACATATAAAGACAGTGATCAAGTGTCATCAGTGACAATGCCTAGGTTCCCAAATGGTTGTATGTTAACGTAGTGATGCAGTTAATTGAGATAAGGTTGAAAGTACTGTGAATATTTTTCATCTCTGTTACTAAAAATTATTCCTGGCCGGGCGCGGTGGCTCAAGCCTGTAATCCCAGCACTTTGGGAGGCTGAGACGGGCGGATCACGAGGTCAGGAGATCGAGACCATCCTGGCTAACATGGTGAAACCCCATCTCTACTAAAAAAATACAAAAAACTAGCCGGGCGCGGTGGCCGGCGCCTGTAGTCCCAGCTACTCGGGAGGCTGAGGCAGGAGAATGGCGTAAACCCGGGAGGCGGAGCTTGCAGTGAGCTGAGATCCGGCCACTGCACTCAAGCCTGGGCGACAGAGTGAGACTCTGCCTCAAAAAAAAAAAAAAAAAAATTATTCCTATTGCTCATTTTGAGATCTGGAATTATCTCATATGTTGTAAATCAGCATCTAATTAAAATTCACGCTATTTGAAGTTACCCCTTTGTAAAAAATTGCTGTAGACAAAGTATTTTTAAGATTTATCAAAGAATTTTCTGAAGTAGCACATAATAGAAGCCAGAAATTTGTTTTTGTTGTTGCTGCTGTTGTTTTTGAGACAAGGTCTTGCTCTGTCGCCCAGGCTGGACTGCAGAGGTACAATCTCTGCTCACTGCAACCTATGCCTCCCGGGTTGAAGCAATTCTCCTGCCTCAGCCTCTCAAGTAGCTGGAATTACAGGCATGTGCCACCACACCCGGCTATTTTTTTCTATTTTTAGTAGAGACAAGGTTTCATCATATTGGCAAGGCTGGTCTCAAACTCCTGGCATCAAGCAATCTGCCTGCCTTGGACTCACAAAGTGCTGGGATTACAGGCATGAGCCACCATGCCCAGCCCAAGTCAGATACTTTTTAAAAGTCACTATGGGTTTTTATAAAACATTATCTGTCTGTATTTTTAAAATTCTCATACAGAGAAACCAAAACCTGTTCTGGTTTCACACTGATCTCTATTTCTTACCATAATTGGCTTGCCCTGAAATGTTTTAACTTCTTCTCTTAAGTATTTAAAAGCCTGTTAACAAAGCACAAGAAAACTTTCATTAGCATCCAAACATTTCAGTAAAGTCATCTTTATTACGTTGAGAGTTTAGTATTAAACTATAAAAACAAAATTATGTAGGTGATTCCACTGTGCAGGTGGACAGGGAATGAAAAAGTAAAAATATAAGGCCTTCTCAACCACAGTTCGTATTTATTGTAGAAAAGCCACCATGGATTACTGCAGAAAAAATGCCTTAAGATTGAAAACAGACCCAAAATATCCCCAGAAACCAATTTAAAAATGATCAGACAACTTTCTACTAAATTGTTTTAAAAAACAAAAATCTGTGATTTTTAAACACTCTTATCATAGATATATTTGTGTTTTAAAGGATTATTTCTCTTTAAGACATGTTAACAATTAAGAATAAAATCATCATCAAAATTCCAAGAATTTTATTTATTGCAGACCTATTATGTACTAAAAATACCACTGGGTACATAGTTCTCAATCCCTATGTTAATTTTAAAACTGTTACATTAACATTCTTATCGACCAGAAAACTTCCTAAATCAAAACTGAAAAACTTTAGGAAGATGATCAAAAAGGACATCAATTGAGCAAAAGCAAAAAGGTAAATCAAGGTACTCACTAATCTTGATAAACATCAGTGTAAACACACATTTTCTCAATTAAAATATACCACTACTTATTTTGCCACTAGGATGGACCTGTATCAGAAAACTGTTTTCTTCTTACCTGTTGTGCATCTGTGTCTGACTGGAAAGTGATATACCAGTTGCTATTGTGTGCAAATTCACAGCTTATCACTTTGGGGCAGTTTTCACTTTTGAACAAAGCTTTCACTTCCTAAAAAGAAAAAGAAAATTAGTTAACTCTAAAAAATACATCAATAAATGGCATTTTTTGCTTGTTTATTTACTAGTAATGTTAAGCATATCTTCATGTTTTTGGTCCTTTCTATCACTTCACTTGTTAACTTTTGCCCATTTTTCTACTGAGGATAGGCTGTGTTCCAAAACAAATAGAGTTAATAGGAGATATATTTGAGTCTGGTCTCAAATTCCTGGATGCAAGCGATCCTTCCACCTGAGCACCCCAAAGTGGTGAGATTATAGGCACGAGCCACTCCATTTGGCCAGGAGATGTATTTTGTACATGATTTTGGGATGATTTATTTTACGATCAGCAAAGCATAAGTATTTCACTTCCACTGGCAAGCTAAATGCTCCTTATAGTGAAATCTCCCCTGTCCTTTTCCTGTCTGGCCTGCCACAGGACAAGTCATATCCTTCATTAACATTTTCTAGGCAATAAAAATTTTCATGCATTCTCATTTAATCCAGATGCTTTGCTTACAACATACATGTGAGTTAATGTGCAAACATATCTTCTTTTTTCCATAATTAGTATAAATGTAAACAGAAACTCTGACAGCTACATGGATTCAGAAAAAGGGTGACTACAAAACTTAAAATGGTAAAACTTAATGGATTGAAGGAAGATTAAAAAAAAAAAAGTTAAGTGAACATTAAGTATACTTAAGAAGTAACAGGCCAGGCGCGATGGCTCAGGCCTGTCATCCCAGCAATTTGGGAGGCCAAGGCGGGCGGATCACAAGGTCAGGAGATCGAGACCAGTCTGGCTAACACGGTGAAACCCCGTCTCCACTAAAAATACAAAAAATTAGCCAGGCGTGGTGGCAGGCGCCTGTAGTCCCAGCTACTCGGGAGGCTGAGGCAGGAGAATGGTGTGAACCCGGGAGGCAGAGCTTGCAGTGAGCCAAGATCACGCCACTGCACTCCAGCCTGGGCGACAGAGCTAGACTCCGTCTATATTTACAAAAAAAAAAAAAAAGTAACAGAAGGAAAGAAAATATCTACTGAAATAGCAAAGGTCAAATGCAGCCCGAGAGCTCAGTGGCTCACTTCTGTAATCTCAGCACTTTGGGAGACTGAGGCAGGAGAATTGCTTGAGTTCAGGACGAGCCTAGACAACATAGCCAGACACTGTCTTTACCAAAAAAAAAGTAAAAATTGGCTGGGCATGGTGGCTGGCTCCTGCAGTCACAGCTACTTGGGAGGCTGAGGTAGGAGGACTGCTTGAGCCAAGGAGTTTGAGGCTGCAATGAACTATGATCGTACCACTTGTACTACACCCTTAGTGACACGGCAAGACCCTGTCACAGAAAACCATTGATTGAGGAAAAACTTCTTTAACATGAAAAAAAATTTAAAAGCAAAAAACAAAAAACTTGAAAACCCAACAAAACATTTGGTGCCTTGTTTTACTGTTTTTCATGTGTATGAACTCCTTATGTATTCAGAATATGAATTATAATAACTGTAAAAAAGATAATGAAATAGGACACAATGGCTCACGGCTGTAATGCCAACACTTTGGGAGGCCAAGGTGCACAGACTGCTTGAGCCCAGGGCCTTGAGAACAGCCTGGGTAACATGGCAAAACTCCATCTCTACAAAAAAGTACAAAAATTAGCCAGGAATGGTGGCATGCGCCAGTAGTCCCAACCACTCAGGAGGCTGAGGTGAGAGGATCGCTTGAGCCCATGAGGTCAAGGCTACAGTAAGCTGTGACTGTGCCACTGCACTTCACCCTGGGTGACAGACTGAAACCCTGTCTCAAAAAATAAAATAAAATAAAATTCTATTCTAAATAGCTAATCAATTACAACGTCAGTTACTAACTAATCCTCATCTTCTTTAATATATATCACCTTATCATGGCAACTTAATATGAAGCTCTGTGACACAGTGTTTATGAAACATGGACTTTAGAATCAGAGAGATTATGTTCAAACCCAAACTCCTGTCATTTAAGAGCCCTTATGTCCTTGAGCAAACTATGCAACCAGCCTAACTATCAGTTACTTCATCAGTAAAACAGGTAATAAAACCTTTGGCTTTAAATAACTGCAGAGTTGGCCGGGCGCGGTGGCTCACGCCTGTAATCCCTGCACTTTGGGAGGCCGAGACGGGCGGATCACGAGGTCAGGAGATCGAGACCATCCTGGCTAACACGGTGAAACCCCGTCTCTACTAAAATACAAAAAATTAGCCGGGCGCGGTGGCGGGCGCCTGTAGTCCCAGCTACTCGGGAGGCTGAGGCAGGAGAATGGCGCGAACCCGGGAGGCGGAGCTTGCAGTGAGCCGAGATGGTGCCACTGCACTCCAGCCTGGGCGACAGAGTGAAGACTCCGCCTCAAAAAAAAAAAAAAAAAAAAAAAAAAAAAACTGCAGAGTAATAACTGGCAGAATCTAACTGTCAAATTGATTACAATGTTTCATTCAAATATTATTTTATTCTGGTATGTGTACCATACCATCTTTATGACTGCAACTTTGCTTTATATAATATTTTGCTGAACAATAGGGTTAGTCCTGCCGCCTTAATTCCCCCCTTTTTTTTTTTGAGACAGAGTCTCGTTCTGTAGCCCAGGCTGGAGTGCAGTGGCGCGATCTCAGCTCACTACAAGCTCCCAGGTTCACACCATTCTCCAGCCTCGGCCTGCCAAGTAGCTGGGACTATAGGGGCCCACCACCATGCCCAGCTAATTTTTTGATTTTTAGTAGAGACGGGGTTTCACCATGTTAGCCAGGATGGTCTCGATCTCCCAACCGCGTGATCCACCCGCCTCAGCCTCCCAAAGTGCTGGGATTACAGGTGTGAGCCACTGCACCCAGCCTTGCCTCCTGAATCCTTAATCAAAATCTAGTTATTCATTCTTACAGATGAATTCTCAGGTTCCCAAAATAGCCTATTTATATATTAGTTGCCACTGAATCAATCTAGTAAATTCAGAATGTTTCACTGCAACACTTTGTCTACCCTTCTAAGAAAACAGAATTATATCTTTTCCTTCCCCTATACCATACTAGTACTTCAGAATTAATGAAACAAATTAATATTTAACCTTTTCACAGTAACTGATGAAGGCACTGGCTTACGCTTTGCTTGTGTACCTCTTTCAATTTCTTTTCTTTGCCACGGAAAGCAGAAGAACCTCTTTCAATTTAAACAGAGAACATTTAGCGTTAACAATTATTAATAATTTACCTCTATTGGTGTTGTTTCAGGAATCTCTCTAAGAATTACAATACAACGCTTATGACTTGGTCTCACTTTCTCACCCTTCTCATCAACTTGCACCATGGGAGAAGCTGAAATTTAAAAGAAAGGGTATCATTCAAAAGTGACAAATAATGATATTATTAATGCCATTAAAAAACTATTCATTTTAATTTCCAGCTGAGTAAATTTGCAGAGGCTGGGTTAATATCTTAAAGAAACTAAGTTGTAGAACCAAAGATTATAGGTATGACAATTTTTTTGGAGATTTGTATGTAAAGACCACTGTCAAATGTTATTCACTGAAAAAAAACATTCAGAGTACTTACTCTAACTTTGGCACTGCCTTCAGGGAGCATACAACATATATCTAGTAAGGCAAATTTCTTGTATATAATAACCAAATTATTCATTGAGGAGATAACAAATGAATGTTAACAGAAATTAGTGTACTTTCATTGGCAAAACACTATGCTGAGGAATGTAATGAAATCTGATATGTGAAGAAATTCTTCCTAAGATTAAAGTTCAAGAAGCTCTTAAACCAAGAACTATACTCAAATTATAAGCTATCCAGGATGTCAACTTACTTAATCTTGCATACTACTACAGAGTCCCAAAAGCCATCTTTTAAACGCTGATTAGGAGGAAATACTATACTAAATATAGTAGCAAATAGCCAAAACTTTTATTTCTAGTCCCTTCATGGAGTTAATATACCAGATCTCCATAAGCAGGCAAGTAGACAGAATAAAACAAGCAGTTAAGGGTGATAGCATGCCAAGTTCCAACCTAAACAGGTGGGAGATTCTGCCTCTCTTTGCCAACTTTTAATGTAGACAAGACTGGGTCATTTTAAGAAACGATGTACCTACAAACCAATCAGAGATTCCATAAATGTTTGTAATCCTCTGGAAATGGAAATCTATTCCAATGTAAGTCTATTATTATCAGACTTGCTATATTTAACTTCTAAACATTTTCAGAAACACATCTCTCATAAAAGTGAAGATCTGCCTTATTCAGTGAAATAGTTAACAAAACCCACTCTTAAGAGGTTACCAAATACTGAACCAAGAAATACATACAAGACATAAAATCCAGCAAAAAAAAAATTTTTTTTTTGAGACGGAGTCTCGCTCTGTTGCCCCCAGTGGCGCGATCTCGGCTCACTGCAAGCTCCGCTTCCCAGGTTCAGGCCATTCTCCCGCCTCAGCCTCCGGAGTAGCTGGGACTACAGGAGACCGCCACCACGCCCGGCTTATTTCTTTTTTTTGTATTTTTAGTAGAGGCGGGGTTTCACAGTGTTAGCCAGGATGGTCTCGATCTCCTGACTTGGTGATCCGCCCGCCTCGGCCTCCCAAAGTGCTGGGATTACAGGCTTGAGCCACCGCGCACGGCCAAAAATTCTTAAAGCTTCAATCAAGAAATAAAAATTTGGCCGGGTGCGGTGGCTCATGCCTGTAATCCCAGCACTTTGGGAGGCCGAGGCGGGCGGATCACGAGGTCAGGAGATCGAGACCATTCTGGCTAACACGGGAAACCCCGTCTCTACTAAAAATACAAAAAATTAGCCGGGCATGGTGGCGACGCGCCTGTAATCCCAGCCCACTGGGAGGCTGAGGCAGGAGAATGGCATGAACCCAGGAGGCGGAGCTTGCAGTGAGCCCAGATCGCACCACTGCACTCCTGCCTGGGCAACAGGGCGAGACTCCATCTCAAAAAAAAAAAAAAAAAAAAAAAAAAGAAATACAAATTCATTACCAAATTTCAGAGCAGTATTTGTCAAACTGCCCATAGCAACTCATTAGTAGGTTGTAAAATTAGAAACAAGTTTGTTACAAATATTTCAGTCGGGTGGAGGTACATGGTGTGTACTGAACTGTGATGAAAAATGTACTTATTTGGGTTCAAAAACTTGAAAGAGATGTTTTAAAGGTTGTGTGATAATGACACATATTTATCTAACACTCCAGAAAAATGAGACTTAATTGCTTATACTTCTTAAGTGGGCATGATGATAAACAAACAAGGTGCAGAATTGTTACAGAAGCTGTATATAGGCTGGGCGTGGTGGCTCACGCCTGTAATCCCAACATTTTGGGAGGCTGAGCGGGATATACAGATATACATGTACACACACACACACACACACACACACACACACACACACACACACACACACACACACACACCCCAGTCAGTAAAAATAAAGGTAAAACTGAGGTGGGGTGGTGGCTTATAGACACACCAGTCAGTAAAAACAAAGATAAGGCTTGAGAGGCCAAGGTGGGAGGACTGACTCAGCCAATGAACTTAAAACCAGCCTGGGGAACATACCAAGACCCCACCTCTATAAAAAAAATTTAAAGATTAGCCGGATGTGGTGGCGTGTGCCTGGGGTCCCAGTAACTTGGAGGGCTAAGAGGCAGAAGGATGGCTTGAGCCCAGGAGTTTGAAGTTGCAGTGAGCTGCGATTTGCACCACCACACTCCCGCTTGAGTGACAGAGTGAGACCCTGTCCTTCACCACTACCCCTGAAAACAAAAAACAAAGAGAGATAATTTGGAACAAAACAACAAAATAAGGTGGTGGTGGGGGCAGTAAAATATAATTATCTATATGATCAGAAGTCAAAATAACATTTAACGTTTAAAATTAAAACAAAAAAGCTAAAAGGTATTTTTACATACATCTTAACACTTCAAGAATTAGATCAGGGTCTGTAGTCAACTTTTTTATTTCTTCCATGTTGGCAACTGTCCAAATTGGGATGAACTGATCACTATCCATTTGAGATATCAAGTAAAGATCCTTTGACAAATTTTCTCTGAAAAGAACAAACAAAATAGTCCTATAAAACAAGCAATTATTAAAAAGCACCTAACGAGAAGAGGTATCTTACTCCTTTTCTCTACTTTTTAAATGCATGGAAGTAAGATTATTTTATCAGAAATAACACTAAACTTTACAATGAACTCTAAAAAGTTGTTAAAAGTGTTCAATTCAAACCATATTAGTGTAATATATATACACATTAGTTAATATAACTTTTACAGTATCTCAATTCCCAAACACATCCAGCACAATATTGGACAATTATACTGATATATAAAGAGGTTTAATATTACAAGTAGCATTTTAACAAAACATTACATATAGCAGAGTTCCATCTTATAAATACTTCAGTGATATTAGAATATGCATGATAAAAACTGTAGCTGAACTGTGAATTGACTCAAGAAGGATTTTCTTTTTTCTTTTTTTTTTTCTGAGACAGAGTCTCACTCTGTCGCCCAGGCTGGAGTGCGTTGGCGATCTCGGCTCACTGCAAGCTCCGCCTCCCGGGTTCATGCCATTCTCCTGCCTCAGCCTCCCGAGTAGCTGGGACTAAAGGCACCCGTCATCTTGCCCGGTTAATTTTTTGTATTTTTAGTAGAGACAGGGTTCCATTGTGTTAGCCAGGATGGTCTTGATCTCCTGACCTCGTGATCCGTCTGCCTCAGCCTCCCAAAGTGCTGGGATTACAGGCGTGAGCCATCGCGCCCGGCCGGATTTTCCATTTCTTAATGTGTGCATTTTGTTGTTGTTGTTGTTGAGGGGGAGTTTTGTTCTTGTTGCCCAGGCTGGAGTGCAATGGCGTGATCTCGGCACGCTGCAACCTCTGCCACCTGGGGTCAAGCAATTTTCCCGCCTCGGCCTCGCAAATAGCTGGGATTACAAGCATAAATCACCACGCCCGGCTAATTTTTTGTATTTAGGAGAGATTGTGTTTCCCATGTTGGCCAGGCTGGTCTCAAACTCCTAACCTCAGGTGATCCACCCGCCTCGGCCTCCCAAAGTGCTGGGATTACAGGCGTGAGCCACTGCACCCTGGCCAAAATATATATTTTAAATTATGCAAGTCAAACACGCTTATATAAATGCACACCTTGGCTGGGCACAGTGGCTCGTGCCTGTAATCCTAGCACTTTGGGATGCCGAGGCGGGTGGATGATTAGAGGTCAAGAGCTCAAGACCAACCTGGCCAACATAGTGAAACTCCGTCTCCACTAAAAATACAAAAAATTAGCTGCGCTTGGTGGTGGGTGCTACTCGGAGGGCTGGGGCAGGAGAATCACTTGAACCGGAGGCAGAGGTTGCAGTGAGTCGAGATCGCACCATTGCACTTCAGTCGGGTCAACAAGAGTGAAACTCCATCTCAAAACATAAACAAACAAAATGAAAAAGATGCAAACACTTGCATCTTACACATAAAATCTTGTTTAATAAACTTAGGTAAAATCAAATTCACACTTTGCTATTCACATCAAATATTCTTTGAAGCAGTCTGGCTATAAATAGCTGGAAGTTTTTGCTTATAAGCCCTCTTCTCAAAAAGTACTATACTGATCACCCTATTTAAAACTGCAACCACCCCAGCATTCCTGATTCCTCTCCTTGCATTCAATTTTCTTCCCACAGCACTTATCTCCTAACATACTTCTGAGTTGCTTATTTATTATGTTTGTTTTGTGCTCTTGCAGTCAGAATATAGGTTCTGACTGCAAGAACCTATAAGCGAAGGATCTTTTGTTGTTCAATCAATAATGTATTTCAACTGCCTAGTGCCTGGCAAGGAGCAGGCTCAAAGGCGCTTACATTCAAATTCTATTAAAATAAAGGCCAGGGGCGGGGGCTCACGCCTGTAAACCCAGCACTTTGGGAGGCCAAGGTGGGTGGATCACCTGATATCAGTTTGAGACTAGCCTGGCCAACATGATAAAACCCCATCTCTATTAAAAATACAAAACGTAGCCAGGTACGGTGGTGCGTGCCTGTATTCCCAGCTATTTGGGAGGCTGAGGCAGAAAAATCGCCCCGGGAGGTAGAGGTTGCAGTGAGCCAAGATCGTGCCACTGCACTCCAGCCTGGGCGACAGAGTGAGACTCCATCTCCAAAAAAACAAATTCCTTAAGAATCTGAAAATAAGACAACCATAAACATGATCTTTGCAAAACTAAAAAGCTGTAGCCTAAATGAACTCTGAAATTTAGCGAGTCTATTCTTAAACAATGACTCAAAATTCTTAAAGAAACTGTACCTTGTCAGAAGTAAATGGATATAACATCTACGATTTGATTATTCACGAGTAATACCTGATATGTATTAACAGCAATTGTGCTGAGCCACAAATGTCAATTACCCAGCTGGCTGGAACTATATCACAGTCCTGAGTAGGAATGTGATGGATCATGACAAGTAGGAGCTCCCACTGCAAAAGTTAGTCCCACTGCAAAAGCTCCCACTTTTTAAAACATTTTTAGTTAAAAAAAGCTGGGATAAACTACAAAAAAAAAAAAAGATCATGTTTTTGGAGATCTGGGAAAGTTGTAGAAGCTTCAAGCACAAAATGACTAAAATGCCCCAAAGAAGATCTTTCCTTCCTGAGAGCATTTGCAGATCTTGACTCAGATTCTACTGGACGATAGAGAAACCAGCAGATCTCTAGGCAGTTGTGTATAAGTATGTGGTATGTGTAATAGGCATAGAACTAGAATTATGAATGGAAATTATGGGAGCCACCAATACAGCTGATTTTCCCCATAAGATGGTTCCTGAGTTTTAAGGAGGAAGATGGGAGATTGGAAGTCAGGCTGAAAAGACAGTAAAATCTACGTGGTCTCGTGAGTAAGTCCGAGTGCAAGCAAAAATGCTGAAAACGCAGGTCGCCCCCATAAGACACTGCCAGATTTTCTTTTTTTTTTTTTTTGAGACGAAGTCTTGCTCTTGTCCCCCAGTCTGGAGTGCAATGGCGTGATCTTGGCTCACTGCAACCTCCACCTCCTGGGTTCAAGCGATTCTCCTGCCTCAGCCTCCTGAGTAGCTGGGATTATAGGTGTGTACCAACATGCCCAGCTAATTTTTTGTATTTTAAGTATAGAGATGGAGTTTCATCTTGTTGGCCAGGCTGATCCTGAACTCCTGACCTCCGGTGATCCGCCCGCCGTGGCCTCCCAAAGTGCTGGGATTACAGGCGTGCGCCACCGTGCCCAGCCAAGACACTGCCAGACTTTCAAGCACTATGGGGTAGGAAGCTAAAGAGCTAAATCTCAAACCTCTGCATTACAGATCTAAATCTCCTTGGTTTTGTAAGATTAGGGTGACACAAAACTGCCAAGCTCTGAATCAAAAGCCTGAAAGGGCCATGTAGAAGGAATAGAGCTAAATCAAAGGTGAACTGAGTCTAATTAAAATTGTTGCTCAGCCCCGACCTAGCTCAATTTCTGATTGGATTGAAGCAATCAACATTTCACTCTCTGCCTAACAGAAGAAAAGCTCAAACTCTGTCTAGAGTTGTATTACCTGCATCTTCCATGGTTCTGTTGTATGTAATGTACAGCATAAAATCAACATTTACAAGACATACAAAAAGGCAGTAAATTATGACAGATAATTCAAGAGTAGAAACCCAGACAATAGAAACAGACCCATAAATGATCTAGTTAGTAGGTAAAATTCACCCAGGCTGAAGTGCAGTGGTGCAATCTCAGCTTACTGCAAACTCTACCTCCTGGGTTCAAGCAATTCTCCAGCCTCAGCCTCCAGTAGCTGGGACTACAGGGGCAAGCTACCACACTCAGCTAATGTTTGTATTTTCAGTAGAGATGGGGTTTTGCCATACTGGCCAGGCTGGTCTTGAACTCCTGACCTCAGGTGATCCACCTACTTCGGCCTCCCAAAGTGCAGGCTAAAGTAAATATTACGTGAATGTTTTTGTTTCTTTGTTTTTGAAGTGGAGTCTCACTCTTGTTGCCCAGGCTGGAGCCCAGGAATAATTTCAGCTCACTGTAACCTCCACCTCCCAGGTTCAAGCAATTCTCCTGCTGCCGCCTCTCAAGTAGTTGGGATTACAGGCACCCACCACCACACCCGGCTAATTTTTAATTTTTATTAGAGACAGGGTTTCACCATGTTGGCCAGGCTGGTCTCAAACCCCTGACCTCGTGATCCACGCACCTTGGCCTCCCAAAGTGCTGGGATTACAGGAATGAGCCACTGCGCCCAGCCCATAATTCTTATCTGTAAATAAGACTTCTCGAAATGTTTGCCTGAAAGGATTCCTTATTTAATAGAAGACACTGGCAATATAAATTATGTATCCAACTCCTTACTATTTTGCCAAAAATGACTCTATGATTAACGTTATAAGAATCAACTATTAAAACAAGTATTAAGAAATAACTCTTTGGCCTGGCGTGGTGGCTCAAGCCTGTAATCCCAGCACTTTGGGAGGCTGAGACGGGCGGATCACGAGGTCAGGAGATCGAGACCATCCTGGCTAACACGGTGAAACCCCGTCTCTACTAAAAAAAAAAAATAAAAAAAAATCAGCCGGGCATGGCGGTGCGCGTTTGTAGTCCCAGCTACTCAGGAGGCTGAGGCAGGAGAATGGCGCGAACCCGGGAGGCGGAGCTTGCAGTGAGCCGAGATCGCCCCACCGTACTCCAGCCTAGGCGGCAGAGCGCGACTCCGTCTCAAAACAACAACAACAACAACAAAAACACCAACTGCTTGCCATATCACTTTAACTCTATGTTCAAAGTCGGCAGTTGTTTCTATATAGATATGTAAAAATTATTTTCAGACACAGTTTCACTCTGTCACCCAGGCTGGAGTACAGTGGCATGATCTTGGGATTACAGGTGCATGCCACCACGCCCAGCTAATTTTTTTTTTTCCCAGTATAAGACAGTGTTTCACCATGTTGACCAGGCTAGTTTCGAACCCCCAACCTCAAGAGATCTGCCCGCCTCGGCCTCCTAAAGTGCTGGAATTACAGGTGTGAGCCACCCTGCCTTTTTTCCTGTTATCTTTAATTTCACGCTTTCCTTTAATAGAACCCTCATAAACAATCTTTTAACATTACAAATGTCATGTTATCTGAAAACAATGTAACAATCAACTAACATTTCATTAACATAACCTTCTTTTCAAATAAGAAAATAATGCCAAAGGTTTATCAGAACAAGGATAAAGAGACCATGGGTGGGGGCGTGTTCTGTACTGAATTCCCATTTTAACAATAAAACCATAAACTTTACCGGAAACATCATATATTTGGTAACTCAGATCTTCTGGTCCTAAAATCATCCCATCAGTTGATTCTTCAATGCCTGTAGTATTTCTTGTGGTTTCACAAGATGAAGAATACATTACTTCATATTCTTTACATGTATCTTCTGAGAGCTCTGCATTACCTGTATTAAAGAGAGACACTGAAAGTAAATGGGAATTATGTAAATTCTATTTTCAGGAACCCTGGTCAGTATGTCACCTATAAAAAGATTTTAAGGTATTCTACCAGTTCGGAGTATGTCCACATGGTTTTAAGCAAGAGTTATCATTCCAAGGGAGAAAGTTTTGACAATTACGGATAAACTAAAATGATTAACAATTGCTAAAACGTATATAGCATTATCTATGTATCAGACTACTCCAATTCACTTTATTCATTTAATTATCAGAAAATCCTGTGCTGTAATTAAGATTGCTTCTGTTTTACAGATGGAGGAAAAAAGCATAGAGAAATTAAGTTATTCGCCCAAGGTCAAACAGTGAGTAAATAGCAGAGTCAATGATGGAAGATAAAAACTAATTTATAAATATCATTATTATAGACGGGTTGCATGCTGGACCCAAAGACACAGCTGCTACTTGAAATCAATGGCAATCTATTCATGTTAGGTATAAATGAGAATTATACACAAACCACATGTTAAACATAAATCCTGGATGCAGTATGTTTAAAGGAAAAACAAATTCATAAATATACTTAATCAAATAAACAAAGGATATATCCTGGCCAGGAATGGTGGCCCACACCTGTAATCCCAGCACTTTGGGAGGCCGAGGTGGGTGGATCACTTGAGGTCAGGAGTTCGAGACCAGCCTGGCCAACATAGAGAAACTCCATCTCTACTAAAAATACAAAGGTTCAGCCGGGCACGGTGGCTCACGCCTTTAATCCCAGCACTTTGGGAGGCCGAGGTAGGCGGATCACCTGAGGTCAGGAGTTCGAGACCGGCCTGGACAACATGGTAAAACTCCGCCTCTACTAAAAATACAAAAATTAGCCGGGTGTGGTAACCAGATGTGGGATTACAGGCATGAGACAAAGCCGGGCGCCTGTAATCCCAGCTACTCAGGAGGCTGAGGCAGGAGAATTGCTTGAACCTGGGGAGGCGGAGGTTGCAGTGAGCAAAGATCGTGCCACTGTACTCCAGCCTGGGTGACAGAGTGAGACTCTGTCTCAAAAAAAAAAGGCGGGGGGATGTATCTCAAGTTCGGTAAACTTGCTTGGCCGTACATTTAACCAAACTGTGATTTTTAGGACCAAATATTTAAGACTTACCCTCAGGATGAGCACCTGATGTAGCTGCTGTTTCATGCCAAGAGCTTTCAGTTCCATGAGTTACTGGGGTGGCATCAGTATTTCCAGGAGCAATTTCTTGCCATACTTTGGCATTAGGATTTAAACCAGTTCCTTTAGATGTTACCTGCTAAATAATTGAAAGATCTATTTGTAAATTTTTAAAATCAGAGCATGAAAATTACAGATTTAGATAAAATCGCTTTTCCATTACTTAAAAGCGGGAGAGAAACCCAATAATTACATTTAATAATAAATAATACTAAAGTTTGTGATCAACTTGAAAATTTGAAATATCTATATAAAATTTAGCTTCCTATATAATAAAAAATAGGTATCTCTAAATATTAAAACAGAAATACTGCCCTGGTGCAATGGCTCACACCTGTAATCCCAGCACTTTGGGAGGCTGAGGCAGGAGAATCACATGAGCCCAGGAAGTTCGAGGCTACAGTGAGCGGTAAACACACCATCACACTCCAGCCTAGGTGACAGAGGAGACCCTGTCTCAGAAAAATAAATAAAAGAGAAATATTGCTTTACCCCAACCTACTTGCAAATATCACAAAATTTAAATATTTACATAACTTTTGAGACACTTGTGTATTTTTGCATCTACAGCAAATTTCTTAGTTATCTAATTTTCCAGATTATATATATTTATAATATTATAAAATATAAATATTTTATTGCCATCTAAGCTGTGACAGAGACTTTAGAGTCTGAACAATTCTATAACTAGAAATTTTATCCCGAGTTAAAAGCAGTGATATGCTTTATATTGGAATTTTTTTTCCATCTGTCCTGCAAGTGTATGTTCTTATGTCCACAGCATGACTATTTTAAATAGTGCCATTTAAGGTACTCTCTTGAGGCAGGGCACGATGGCTCATTCCTATAATCCCAGCACTTTGGGAGGCCAAGGCGGGCGGATCACTTGAGCGCATGAGTTCGAGATCAGCCAGGGCAACAAACACGGAGAAATGCTATCTCTACAAAAAATACAAAATTAGCCGGGCGTGTTGGTGGGCACCTGTAGTCCCAGCTACTCAGGATGCTGGGGTGGGAGAATGGCTTGAGCCTGGGAGAAAGGTTGCAGTGAGCTGAGTAGCTGAGTTTGCACCACTGCACTTCAGCCTGGGAGACAGAGTGAGACTCCGTCTCAAAAAAGAAAACACACACACACACACTCACTCACTCACACATACACACCAAACATAATGCCCTGTTCCATGCCTAGGTTCATTCATATCTTGAGAGCAGGGTCTGCACCTTGAAATGGTGGTAGTAGTGAGAAGTATTTTATCACTTACACGCTTTAGAATTTCCAAGTGTAGGATAACAAGCGTATACCTTTCAGTCATTTTTATTATTGTTTCAAAATTCTCTACAGAAAATACATCTGTTTTGTACCCACAGGAGAGTAGTACTCTCCCACTGCTCTGCCTTTGGTAGCCACTGATTTGAAGCTGAGTTGACTGGTGAATGTGATGTGGGCATTTACGTATCGCATAATTTGTGTGTTGGGGAGGGGGATAATCTATTTTAACGAAACTTGCTATTCATGTGTATGCCCTAACAAATAAACATTATAGCATAATAAAAGGTACAACTAAGCACTGTGGACTGGAGGTGGGATGCCTACCCAGCAGCAAGCCCACCCTCATGTGCCATCTGAGGACCTGCAGAAAGGACAGTGGGAAGGAGACAGCAGCCTCAGCCCAGAGATCTCCCTATCCTCCTCCCTCAGGGGAGGGGGATCCTGACATTTGACCCTGACATTCAACCCTTCATGTCCTCCATGGTCAGGAAGATGGTTGGGTATAGTGGGTGGAGGTGAGGAGAAGGAGGTACAGAAGGGGACGCAATATGCGAGTAGAGAGATTCTAGAGAAGGGCAAACGAGGGTGGGTAACAATGGAATTAAACAGAAGAAAGAAGCCTCTATTTGTAACCCTGGAATCCGGCAGGGGAAGGAGGAGGAAATGGGCAAGGGAAGGTGGTAAAGAGAAGCTGAGGAGAAGGCAACTCACTTATTTCTCCCTGCCTCTGCTGAACAGTTCCACTCCCTTATGTTAATCCCATTCTGAGACAGGCTCAGAGAGGTTCCAGTGACAAACTAGTAGTTTGTGTCCCGGGGCACAAATGGTCTAGGAAGTAAATTGCAGAGCTGGCAGGCAAAGCTAGTGTCCACCTCAGTAAGACTCAGCTCCTGGCTCCTAGAGAGCTTTGGCACTGATGCCGTAGGTGACAATAAGAGAGATGATGAAGATGCCGAAGCCCAACTCTAAGGGTGATAAACTCAAGCTTTTTGGGTACAACATAATTTCTGACTGATAGCAGAATAGAACTCTGAGTAGCTTGTGATAGCCAAGCTCTCCTGCCATATCAACAGTATTTGACATTAAGCATTTTTCAATAGGAGAAAACACATGTATTTACACACTTATTCTCTCCCTCTCTTTCCCCCATTCTGAGAATACCAGATACACGCCTACCCAAGAAGATAGCAAATGTTAAAGGTACAGCTCTCAGAAACAAACGATCAAACATTAAATCCCAATAAATACAAGGAGTACAACAATCATTTACTTACTTGAAAAGGATACAGTGAAAGGGCCATATACCTATTAGAAATACCCCTTACTCAAAGAGTTGCTATATAGAGTAGTTATGTGACAAGATCATCATTTCAAGGTAGCTTTTTTTTTTTTTTTGAGACAGTGTCTCGCTCTGTTGCCCAGGCTGGAGTGCAGTGGTGCAATCTTGGCTCACTGCAACCTCCCTGTCCTGGGTTCAAGCTATTCTCCTGCCTCAGCCTCCTGAGTAGCTGGGATTACAAGGGCCCGGCACCACGCTGGGCAAATTTTTGTGTTTTTAGTAGAGACAAGGTTTCACCATGTTAGTCAAGTTGGCCTCAAACCCCTGACCTCAGGTGATCCACCCTCCTCGGCCTCCCAAAGTGCTGGGATTACAGGCGGGAGCCACCGCACCCAGCCTCAAGGTAGTTTAATAATCTTCATCTAAACACACAATGATTGAGATGCTGGAGTCACTCCTGAATCCAAAAACAGCTCTAATATGAACTTTTTATTATTGTGTGATCTTGGCAAAATTTCTTAACTCTTCTGAGCCTCAATTTTGTTAACTGTAAATTGAAGTAAAACAATTTTTTTTTTTTTTGAGAGACGGAGTCTCGCTCTGTCGCCCGGCTGGAGTGCAGTGGCCGGATCTCAGCTCACTGCAAGCTCCGCCTCCCTGGTCTACGCCATTCTCCTGCCTCAGCCTCCCGAGTAGCTGGGACTACAGGCGCCCGCCACCTCGCCCGGCTAGTTTTTTGTATTTTTTTAGTAGAGACGGGGTTTCACCGTGTTAGCCAGGCGTCATGATCCGCCCGTCTCGGCCTCCCAAAGTGCTGGGATTACAGGCTTGAGCCACCGCGCCCGGCCCGAGGTAAAACATTTTTATTTTTATTTTTACTATTTGTATAGACAGGGTCTACTCTGTCATCCAGGCTGGAGTACAGTGGTGTGCTCATAGCTCAGTGTAGCCTCAAACTCCGGGGTTCAAATGATGCTCTTGCCTCAACCTCCTAAGTAGCTAGGACTACAGGCCTGGAACACCATGCCCCACTAATTAAAAAAAAATTTTGGCAAAATTGGGTTTTCATTATGTTGCCCAGGCTAGTCTCAAACTCAGCCTCCCAAATCACTGGGATTACAGGCATGAGACACTACACTGGGTCAAGAAGTCCTTATTTTAAAAATTACATGGCTGGGTGCAGTGGCTCATGCCTGTAATTCCAGAACTTTGGGAGGCCAAGGCAGGTGGATCACCTGAGGTCAGGAGTTCGAGATGAGCCTGACCAACATGGTAAAACCCTGTCTCTGCTAAACAATACAAAAATTAGCTGGGTGTGGTGGCGGGCACCTGTAATCACAGCTACTACTCAGGAGGCTGAGGCAGGAGAATCGCTTGAACCCAGGAGCTGAAGGTTGCAGTAAGCCAAAATCACGTCATTGCACCCCAGCCTGGGTGACAAGAGCAAGACTCCGTCTTAAAAAACAAAAAAAAATTACAGGCCAGGGACACACTGGCTCACACCTGTTAACTCTAGCACTTTGGGAGGCTGAGGCAGGCGGATCATGAGGTCAGGAGATCAATATCAGCCTGGCCAATATGGCAAAAATCCCATCTCTACCAAAAATACAAACATTAGCCAGGCGTGGTGGTGTGCACCTGTAATCTCAGCTACTCTGGAGGCTGAGGCAGGAGAATCGCCTGAACCTTGTAGGCGGAGGTTGTGGTGAGCCGAGATTATGCCACTGCACTCCAACCTGGGTGACAAAACAAGACTCTGTCTCAAAAACAAAACAAAACAAAACAACCAATGTAAGTATTAGTATCTCTCTTTTATAGATTATCCCATTATGAGAGGTACGGAGTAATAGCAAACCCAATTAAAGACATAGAAAGATGAAATATGAAGGAAGGATTCAAACCCAAGGCAGCCTGACTCCAGAAACAAAGGATTAACCACACAATGATTACAATTGCAAGAAGTACCTAAGCATGTGGTTATAGGCTGGAAGAAAACATGATCTGCCACAGTAACTAGACCAGATTGGTTTTCTCCCCACTTACAAAACATTCTTTTTTTTTTTTTTTTGATGGAGTCTTGCTCTGTTGCCCAGGCTGGAGTGCAGCGGCAAGATCTTGGCTCACTGCAATCTCAAGCGATTCTCCTGCCTCAGCCTTCCGAGAAACTGAGGTGTGTGCCACCACGCCCAGCTAATTTTTGTATTTTTAGTAGAGACGGGATTTCACCATATTGTCAAGGCTGGTCTCAAACTCCTGACTTTTTGATCCTACTGCCCCAGCCTCCCAAAGTGCTGGGATTACAGGTGTGAGCCACCGCACCCAGCCTAAAACATTCTATTAAAATGCTGCTTTGAGTCAAAAAAAAATACAAAATGTAAGATTATTGCTTCTATTACTGATTTTTTTCAAAACAGAGCATATTAAAGTACATTAAAAGCAGGCTGGGTACGGTGGCTCACGCCTGTAATCAAAGTACTTTGAGAGGCCGAGGCGGGCGGATCATGAGGTCATGAGTTCGAGACCAGCTTGG